GTGAAAAAATAAAGATTAATGAAACAAACTAATAAAGTATGGAAAGTAAAACGGATTTATATTCATATACATTTTGTTCATTATTTTATATATAACGATTCTGTCTTCGATATCTTCCATATATAAAGTTTATTGTTTTTTCTTAAATGTGAGGCAATACTTATAAAGAAAACGATCGTGTACCTTGTACGTTCGTCGCCAGTTTCGTTTATTCTCTTGCAACATCCTTTTCCAGAGCATGGACATCACTTCTGGAAACTGCTCGTACGTGAATGTGGCCTGAGCCAGTTCTTGCATCATTGCCCCTTAAAAAGTAATGCCGTATAATTAATTTACAGGTGTTCCATGTAAAAAGTACATGGTGAAACTGCATTGTCGGAAGCACAGATCGTACCTGTGGGACCCCATGCATCGTCATTAGTTGCTTCCCGAACTTTGGCCTCTGTTTCCGTATAATTCATTACGACATTGGTCCTACAAATGCAATATTTCATTGTAATGTATGTTTAATTTGTACGTACAAATGTGACGTATGCAAAACCATAAATTGTCCATTATCAAATTAAAGAAATGATAATAATGTCATATTACACTTGTCATATCACGAATTACTTGGTAATAATTTTCGCAAAAAGAAAATTTTCTGATAAAGTCGAGTAATATCTATCGTTCGTATATGTATACATGAACATACGGAGATCGTTCATATCTTCGATCACAATTAACTTTTACAGCGAAAGGATTACAATGATAATCTTCCTATTATTAACGATACACTCTTTATAAAGAATAATTAAGTATAGGTACAGTAAACGATCTCCCCTCCCTCTCTTTTTGCCTATACCTTAGTTTGGTCTGCAAACACAGCATAGCGTATGTGTAAAGCACATTCATGCGAGAACAAAAGTGCATAGAGCCGTGAATTACGTAAATAATTACAGTTTAAAGTCATTATGTAGCTTTGCGAGTATCTCATGCGGCTTACTATGTCGGTAATTAGAGATTAATTTATCAAGATTACTAGTTCGCGGACGTAATCACACACACACAACTGACGAACTTTATTTATTAAGATTATATTAATTCAATGCAGCTCTGTATATCGATCGCATATCGTTTTAGATGAGTATAATTAAGTACGAGACTGTAAGAAATGTCTGTATTCCAAGTTAATATAAACATTTCTTACAATTACATACTCAATCAGATTTATCGATTTAAAAACAAGTTAATAAAATTGTTAACAAAAATTAATTATTAATTAATAGATATCAATATAATATTAATATAATTATGACTATTAATTTATTACAGGATTATTTTTCACAAATCCCTCATTCTAAAATTCCATAAATTTTCTTGATTTTCAAAAAAAAATTTCATGATATTTCCTGAGTTTCAACACTTTGACATTTTATTTTCGTCTTGACATGAAAACCGTTAAATATTTTGTTGAGAGATCAATTTAGCATAGCAATGTAAATTACTATTAATGTTACCGACACTGTTTATATTTTTAATCGTTAAGTTGATACTTTGATAGTTCCAAAATTGCATAAGTGTGATATACGTACATTAAACTTCTTTAAAGCCAAGAATTGTTTTACAAAAAATTTTGAAAAATTCCGTAATTTTCCCCCGCCGATTTTTCTACTTCGTTTTCGATCTCTGATAATTATCTCTGATAATTCCCTGATTTTTATGGCAATTCTATTAATATCTTTTGACTTTCAAAAAAAAATGTTACGTCAAAATTTTATTCGGAGGATGTAATTGTTAAATAAAAAAACAACGATTATTAATTCGCGCGCGATTATTGTTTCAAAGATATTAGTAATTACTCACAGTATCAGTGCATCTATAGTATAAAATTTTAAGTAGGCTCATTCTCTATATCACTTTCACTTATACAATATGATATCGCTTTCAACAAATAAACATACAAAATAAAAATATGAACAGAAATTCAAATTTGCTTTTGTATTAAAAGACAGAATATAGAAATAAAACTTTGCAAGGATAAATTTCTAATTAATTTTCTTAGTTTGTACAGAAAAATTGTATTGTTTTTATAGTAACATCTCCATTCAAGTAAATCGTCAGAGTGATTGTTTAATTTTGATAATTGAATAACATCAGCAAATAAAAAAATATACAAAATATAAAAATATATATAAAGATTCAATTTTGTTTTTGTATTGTACAAGATAGAATACAGAAATAAAATTTCGCAAGTATAAATTCAAGTGTTGTTAAATTATACGGAAAAATTGTTTTATTTTTATTATTAATAATTCTATTCAAGTAAATCGTCAAAGTGGTTATTTAATTTTGATAATTAAATAACATCAGCTTTTAAAAAATGAAAATATAAAATATACCGAAATGTATGTATATAAATAAAGATTCAGTTTCGCTCTCGGTTTCGCCTTTGTATTAAAAGATAGAATACAGAAATAAAATTTGACAAGACAACTCGACGTTGTTAGTTTAAATGGAAAAATTGTATTGTTCTTATTGTTAATATTTTCATTTAAATCAAAGTAGCCGTGTAAATTTGATAAATAATACATTTATCGGACCTTCATAAATATTAGCAAACGATGGTCTTCACGACTCGTGGATACTCTTTCATATACTCTTAAAGCAAATACGAAGAATGAAAGAGTATACAATCGAAGACTTTCGTAATTCTAAACGAGTATTCAAGTGCGAACGATAAGAATCGGAATGTCATATCGCGTGAATAAACTTTTCTATCGTGGGTATCTCGCGTGCTCGCGGCAATAAATAAATGAGTTTATTTCATCAATCGCGGATATGTTTAAGTAAAACAAATTGCGAAAAGTCCGCGTATAGTCTTAATAGCTTTGATTTAAAAAGAGTCATTAACCCTTTCAGACTCGAAATACATTATAATATATACACCAAATTTAGAAACATTTTTCATGTCGAAACTTAAATATATATATTGAAAAAATAATTCAAATTTCGAAAAAAATTAATTGTTTAAAATGAGTTACTTATTAAAGCGCTCTTATAAATGAAAAAAAAAATTAAATCTTTTTAAACTAATTTTTTCATTCTAATGGTTTCTATAAGTGTTTCTAAACTAAATCTTTTTAAATTTTAATTTGGTTGAATTTAATTCAGATCCTGAGGTTAAAATCGAGAGATAATTCAGCGGGAAGTAAAGCAAACTGAAATAAACCAGCGAATTTGCGATTCGAGATTTCAATGTTAAAAAAAATATTTGGCGAAAAGAAATGCGCAAAACATATGAGAAATAAAATATTAAAGTGGCTCGAATTGTTAAAATACCTATCAATTTCTCCCGCAATTTCTTCTCTACGTAAATTCTTAGATTTTTAGCAAAGCGTCCTAATCTTCGATATTTAACGTCGAATGCGAGGAAAATTTGAAAAGAATAAGTAAAGGCTTCGAAAATCGGGGAAGAGCAAAACTTCGCGAAGTGTTTCAACGAAATAAATACGCGACCATCGCGAGGAAAATGAGGAAAGTGGTCGAGGAGAGGGAAGAGGGGGAGACCCGTGCCATCCGTCGTCAATTCCACAATTGTTTTTCGCCTCGTTTATCGCGCACACCTCAACATCGAATCTCAAGGTCGCGCGTCATAAAATTATCCACGTCGTTCCAGTTTTACGAGTTCCTCTCTCCTCTCGCTCTTCGAGGATTTTCGAATGTAACGTCATCCGTTTTCCCACTCGTGATAGAACGCGCGTGACACGTTCTCGAGGACAATCCTCACGGAGCGTATCGCGCACGATTTTTCAACTCGCACAATCGCGTGGGGAACATCGAGTTGGAAGTGCGAGGAGCCGAGAGAAACGCAGGATAGAAATATGCCTGAGAAAACAGAGGCGAGACAAGGTTAGAGGCAGAGGATATCTCAGGATTAGCTTTGCGACTTACGCCTTGTCCATCAGCTCCCGCATTTTCCACATGTTCATCATGTTGCTGTTGTCGCTGCGCGACGGTTTTCTCGCGTACGATCGTAATTCTCGACACGCGAATAGTCTCCCGACAAGATCGTTATCGGCGGTACGTTCGCTGAACGTTCACCAGATGTTTTCCGAAGCATCTGATAACCACGACGGCCGAACGGAACGTCACCAGGCGGTAGCCATGTTATCCCTTCCACGTTTGCTGGCATGCACCTCGCCGTGGTCACAGGTGTCTCCCATGATCGCGCCACAAATGGCCTTCTATCAACACTACCAGAGGGTGTGTCGGTGCGATTTCACTTTTGGTCTGTTCTGATCACAGATTTCTATATACCTAGACCACAACCATAGAGATCCTATAATAAAGCGGGGAGCACAGACTTTTGCATAACGCATAAACCATATACATAAAGAATTTGATTGGTCCATTGACTCATGCATAAGAAAATGGACCAATGAAATTCCTTATGCATAACGCATAAACCATATACATAAAGAGTGTGATTGGTCCATTGACTCATGCATAAGAAAATGGGCCAATGAAATTCCTTATGCACATGCTTTATGCGTTATGCAAAAGTGTGTGTTGGGGCTCTATGGCCGCAGCATACACTTTTGCATAACGTATAAAGCACTGAACTATATATAAGCGAGGAGCACAGACTTTTGCATAACGCATAAACCATATACATAAAGAATTTGATTGGTCCATTGACTCATGCATAAGAAAATGGACCAATAAAATTCCTTATGCACATGCTTTATGCGTTATGCAAAAGTCTGTGCTCTCCGCTATACACTGGAATGGGCATCTCCGTTCTGAAGCATAGAAAATCGTGGCCGTTTTTGATCAGCCGCCATTTTGGCTGGGTCAGATGCTTGAGCGAATCAGAAGCTTTCAGATGCTCATGCGCACTTACGAGAGTTGTTTAGCAAGGGTATGTACGGCAGGGTACGGTCAATGCAATGCTATAAATGCTTTAAAGCGTTTTTTAAAATTGATTAATTTGTAAAATTCTATCCTCTGATTGATCCATCAAATGCTTCAAAGCATTTGTAGCGAGACTTTGACCACACCCTTAAGACGCAAATTCTTTATGTATGTTCTGTGTGCAAATATCAACAAGATTATTGTGTGTGTGAGGTTATTTTTGAAGGATTATAAAATCGCGTGTCTATACAAAGCATCAACATGAAATGCTGTGTGCCTGGGTGTAAGCAGAGAAGTAAAAAGGGCCTTTCATTTCATAGGTAAGAATTTTTTAATAAATATCAATTCCTGCATATGTATTAACGATGTAGAATATGAAGTGTTATTAAAGTTATTTTATTGAATGTACTAATAAAAAAAATTGGAATGACATTTTTGTTTATACCGTTCACGTCCATCTAGATTTCCATTAAGAGACCAAAATCTATCTCAATCGTGGATTGATCAAATTTATGCGTATTTGGAAAAACATAACTGTGAACGTGAAGGATTCAAACAGAATAAACAATCTGTTTTGTGTTCAAACCATTTCCTTAAAAGTGATTATGTTACTACAGTAAGCAGCCATATATTAAAAGCTTCAGCTTGTCCTTCAGTCTTTTCGGTAAGTTATGTAAAATGACAATAGGGTAATCCCAGATCTACAATAGAATTTTAATCCATAAGAAATGGACGAATTATAGTCGCTTATTCTTCTCAGATTCGACCGTAATTGATCAATTTCTTATGGCTTAAAGCTTAAAATACCTATTGTAACATGAGTAGACTGTAGGCACATAAAACTTTGGTTTTATTGAGAAAAAAGTAACTCGAAATCTAATTCGTGAGACAGACAGGTACACGGTAGTGTAAATGTTAGTCTCAGTTTTAAAACCATTTTCACACAACTTGCAAAATGTTAAAGCAGTATTTGTATGTATTACAGTGTGATCCTAATCCTCTAAAGAAAAAACTGTCTAAAAAATTAAGCTCTACAACACCTGTACTTCGATTGCGCTACATTCTTCCAAAAGTGGACATTGATGAACTGGAATATACAAAAGTAATGTATAAAGTAAAGTATACACAGAATGCAATGAAGAAAACAGAGAAATAAGTTGAATATATGTAGAATAAAAAACATACACATTAGAGAATTTTTTTACATTATAGACATTTTACTCCATGATGCAAATTTCCTAAAATATTATATTTATAAATTTTAAAATACTACAAAAATTTACAATTTTTAATACAATTAATTATAATGAAATAATAATTTGCATTATTACGAAGTAATTGTATTGAATGTTGTATATTTTTATATTTTAAAATTGAAAATTAAATTTAAAAAAAATACGAAGCACTTATCAATTATTATTAATTATTTTATTAATAATATAATTGTATAAAAAAAGTTTACTTTGCATTGTATGTAACATCATTCATACTTGTTAATATTAGTTTGCTCTTTCTAGAATATCTCGTATATTCAAGATTCGGTACTTGAAGAACCGGTGATTAAAGAAACAAGAATAGAGGAGCCAATGATAAAAAAGAGTACAGTCGAGGAACTGATGCTAAAAAAAACTGAGTTCGAGGAACCAATGCTTCAAGAAGTTGAGGCATTGATGCTAAATGAAGATACGATCGAGGAACCGTTTATCAAAAACACACAAGAATCGTTCCTCGAAGATTTAAACAAGGTAAAGCCATTTCATGGTTTTGTAGTTTTTCTGCAAGTATGGTTATTTATTTATTAATTTAATATTTCAATATATTCGAACAAATGTTCGGTCAGCATTACAAATAACTCGAAAATCAAATTTACTGAAAAATCGTTTCAATAATTAGTTAATGGATTTCATTAAAAAAAATACATTTTCTATTTATTTAATTAATATTAAATTTGGTTCCCGAATGCTCTTTGTACCCTGATAACAAACAACAATTAAAGGGAAAAAATTGAAAATTAAGAATGGCAGATTTAAATTTCAAAATGTGATTTGTTTATAATTTGTCTGATTAATAATATTGTATAATTTTAATTATTGTCAATTTTTTATATATTTATTTCGTGATTTTATTATTTCTTGTAACTATCGGAGTTATGACGATGTATTTCCATTTTAGAATGTATGCACCGAATGTTCATCATTAAAAGATAAAATCCAGAAGTTAGAGGAAAAAATGGCTTTTATGGAAAAACTATTATTTAAGCTGAAATCCTGCAATGAAAGTGACATTTGCGATAATTCTTCGCTTCATCATGAACAATTGTCGCAAGAATCAAGTACTCCAATCAGAACAATACAAAATGATCACTGTTATGTAAGCACTTTACAAAGCTTGCGACGAAAGTTAGATTTTTCGAAAGCCAAGGCAATTAGGATGACACAACGAAAACGTAATACAGTAAAGAAATTGCATCGATCAACGATAAAAGTATCGCAGTTACAAAATTTGTTGGAGTCTATGAAGGAAGAAAAGATCGCTAGACCGGAACTCTTAAACCATCTGGAGCAAGTATTTGGTGAAGCTCCTCTACACCTTTATGAAAGGTACATTCAAGTAAATAATGCTGGCACGAAGAGAGTTACTAAAAAATATTCTGCTACCTTGCGTGCTTTCGCTTTAACATTGCACTTTTATTCTCCTCGAGCATATGCTTTTGTTAATATGGCTAAGCTTTTGGGAGCTAATCTGGGAATGGATTCCTTCTAATCAAGTTTTCCACATCCTTGCGATCCCACAGTTCAAATGCATTGTGTATTAGATCCTTGTCATGTTTTGAAACTTGTGAGAAATGCATGGTATAATTTAAAAGTAATAATAGATAGTAATTTAATTTTATGGGAATTTATAGAAAAGTTACACAAAGTCCAACAAACCGAAGGACTGCGGGCGGGCAATAAATTAAGAAAAGCATACATGGAGTGGAAGAAATCACCAATGAGAAGGTAAATCTCGTTGCTTAAACACTTAGCTCCAGCGTCACCGATGCTATAGACTTTTGCCGTGACATCGGAGTGGTTGGTTTCGAAGAAAGCGCACCGACTACTAACTTCATTCGAAAAATTGATCAATGGTTCGACATTATGAACTCTAGAAATCCGCAAGGTCGCGGTTTTAAGGCTCCACTATCAACAAACAATGACAGCAGTTGGAGACCATTTCTACACGAAATGGTTCAATATATCTTGTCACTTCGGATAATTAAGAACAGGACTCCTATAGTTGTCAGTTCAAAGAAAACTGGTTTTATTGGTGTCATTTTATCCTGCGAAAGCATGGTTCGTATATTTGATGAATTAATGGGAAGTCACAAAACCCACTTAAAGTACTTTCTTAAGTATAAAATGTTACAAGATCATCTCGAGTTATTTTTTAATGCAATCCGAGCTAGAGGAAGATGGTGTATTAATCCTACACCTCGCCACATGTCTTCGGTTTAAAAACATCTGCTAGTGAGGCACTAAGTAAAGGCTTCAAATGGCAATGTGACTGCTATGGAGCAAACTACAATCCTCTTTGCGACTCGGAATTCTATTACTCAGTATCGAGACACCGTAGCGCAATGCGATACCTTAACATGTGCTTATGCCGTTGATGATGAAACTTTTGCTTACAACTCTACCAATACCTCTATCAACAAAGAAACCAAATGTTTATATAATTTGAACGCTCTGCTAAATATTAATGAAAAACAAGACGAAGAATCGATGGAGTTAACATTGGAAATGCCTTCAAATTATTTTAAGTTATCCTAATTTGCCGAAAATGCAGTTGCGTCAGTTGCAGGTTACATCGTGCGAATGGTGTTTAAAAGAATTCATTGCATATCTTGTTGCTCTATTCTCTGCAATGGCAACTCCAACGACAATAAGCTTAAGTTAATTCTTCAAAAATCAAATGGCCTTATATTTCCTTCTTCCGATGTTATAACGATTTGCAGTTTGAGTGAAAAGATGGTTCGAAGAGCTATCCATGGCTGCGGTCGAGTTGCCACTACGAATGCTTTGAAGCGTTTGATTGACCAATCAAAAGAAAGAATTTTACAAATTGACCAATCAAGAAACGCTTCAAAGCATTTGTAGTGGCAACTCGACCGCACCTCATGAGTTGCCTATGGACACACCAGGATAATCACATCGCAGCAAATGCATTTGATTGGTCCATTGACTCATGCATAAGAAAATGGGCCAATGAAATTCCTTATGCACATGCTTTATGCGTTATGCAAAAGTCTGTGCTCCCCGCTTTAGCCACGAAAAATTTGTTTCCAGGGCTGTGTTCGGAAACATCACCCGAGTGCTTCAGTGTATCATCTTATCCTCGTTTAACATGGGTGAACAACAAGGATAAGACGATACACGGGTGTACTCGGGTGATGTTTCCGAACGCAGCCCCGAAGTACATAATCACATGTTTGATACGTCAAAAGAGGAAAATCATATACATAGGATGCGGTCGAGTTGCCATCACGAATGCTTTGAAGCGTTTGATTGACCAATCAAAAGAAAGAATTTCACAAATTGACCAATCAAGAAACTCTTCAAAGTATTCGTAGTGGCAACTCGACCCATAGTCTAACAAAGGTCTAGTTTCCACTAAAGCATTAATTTGCACCTAATGCGGCGTAGAACCAAATTTAACTCGATGGAAATACGTTTGACTCTGCTCATTTCACTTCCACTTCGATCCACAACTTCTACCAGAGTGACAGCGAATTGACATTAAATTTTAGTCGGTGGAAACGACTGAAATAGATTAAAAGTAAATATCGCCAACCTTTCCATTATTCGTTAAAAGTATAAGCCGTTCAAAAATGGATAATAAGCGTGATATTTGGTCATACGATGAAACTTTAACATTAATTCACTTCAATTCTACTTCCAATGGAAAAATACACGATCTATACCGTAGTGGAACCGAATTGAGGGTTTCGGTGGAAACTAGGTCAAAGACAATATCTTTGTGTTATATTAGGATAAAAATGTTTCATGAAGTTTAAAAGATTACAGAAACGCTGACAAACATTGGAAAACGAAAGGAACTATCGCGACTTGCCATTTTCTTAAATGTATAAATAAGCGTATGAACCACTGCGGTATAAACACATGTATGTATATACCGAACATGTATATATTTTTCACATTTTGTAATATTTAAAATAAAAAATATATTATTTCACACATTTTTGCAACATTAAAATTTTCTTTCCACTGTTCTTCTTGTTCTCGATAATCATATAAAAATAAATATTTCTATTCAAATGTTCCTACTCTTAAAAGCGCAATGCGCATGCGAATGAATGTACTAATGAAAATACTAAGGGTCTGCGCACAATGGAGGAACAGATATTAGATATTAAAATATTAACCTATCAGAATCGTGTATTCCGGTGTAACTGGTATCTGATAGGTTAATATTTTAATATCTAATATCTGTTCCTCCATTGTGCGCAAACCCTAAATGTACTAATAAAACTGAAATGATATTTTTATTTATATACCATTCATGTCCATATCAGAGAGAAACCTAAGAGAGGACATGACGGCCTAAAACCTGTAACCCCAAAACACCGCAAAATGCTGCCGCGCACTACTGCCCTCTGAAGAAGTAGATGTAAATTACACAACAATATCCGTCTTTTTACGGCACTCCTGATGGAAATAAATCATTGAAACCGTTAAAATCTTTATTAATTTTATAGATTTAAGTTATTTTAACGATTTCAGCGATTTATTTATTTTTTACATTTGATTGGCACATTCCGTTAGATTCTAAAATATAGACCAATTAAATGAAACAGTTCACTGAGCGCTCAATGAGCGGTTGTGCTTCTGGATGCACTCAATGGGTGCATCCAGAAGCACGACCGCTCATTGAGCGCTCAGTAAGTTCTTGTGTACCTGTTTGGTTTATATTTTTAGATCTAATAGAATATGCCAATATTCTATATCTACCTATTAGGTGCATCCAGAAACACGACCGCTCAATGAGCGGTCGTGCTTCTGGATGCACCCATTGATGATTTTAAGCTTACTTAGGCTGCGTTCCGTTTCAGGCATATGCGCGCATTTTATAATAGTGAGCTTAAACGAGAAACACACACTTTTGCATAACGCATAAAGCATGTGCATAAGGAATTTCATTAGCCCATTTTCTTATGCATGAATCAATGGACCAATCAAATTCTTTATGTATATGGTTTATGCGTTATGCAAAAGTCTGTGCTCCCCGCTTTACGTATACTATATAGGGGAATGCGCGCATATGCGTGAAACGGAACGCAGCCTACTGTACGACGCTTCTCTCACATCCGGTTTCACAACATCATGGCAGAGCCAATCACGGATCAGTCGGCATTGGCCCATCTCTCCATGCCACTGTCACAGCGTGCTACGATGATTTTTGGAACGGTGTTGACAGTGCTGCCAGCGCTGGCAAACAATTTTGGAACACAGCCAACGTGTGGTATCACTGCCGTTTGCCGGATTCAACAAATTCAACATGTAGTAGGAGCGCGTTTAAATTGCTCGTTTTTCCATGTACACAACGATGGCAGATTTTAACGACGGGGTGGATGGAAAGCTAGCTTTTAGAATGCGAAAAGTTAATCCCGAGCAATTTCACACGCTTGTAAAAATGCATCTTTCCTTTGAATTGGATCTTAACACGGAAGAGTAAGTAATTACCGTTGCACAATCCGTATTCCTTACATGATTAGTATACCGTTGACACTGACAAACAAGATTTAATTTTCATTTTCTATTTTGCCAGTTTTATCGATAACGACTACGACATTTGGCTTACCTATCGTAAATAATAACTTAATAAAACGAGTAAATTTTATTCGTAAATAAATTATTCTCTCTATTATGAAAAAAACTTTTATAAAATATGAGTATAATAAGATTATGCGATATACATACACTGATAATATTTTGATTGATCCTTTTTAGCAGTGATAGTGTTACTGAGAAAGCAAGATTGAAGAAGTGGGGTCTTCTGAGCTTTACCAAGAAATCCAAATCTTCAGTCAATTTAGAAAAAGGTACAGATGGTGTTATGTTATGTGAAGATGGTATAAATCATTTGACGCAATTGATAGATTATCTGTCCAAGGAACAAAGTAAGTAAATATATTAGATAATAAAAAATTCAAGAATGGAATTGAATATAGCTTTCTTTTCGTCTCTTGTAGATATCATACAAGAGGGAATATTCCGACGGACTGGAAAATTGACAAGGCAGCAGGATTTAAAAACAGCTATGTCTCAGGGTATATTTTTAGATCTCGATGATGGTAGATTTAGTGTACATGATTGTGCCTCTGTGTTAAAAACGTTTCTGGCAGAACTGTCTGAACCACTCTTAACAGATTTACATTATCCAGCACATTGCCAGATTGCTGGTAATAAAAAAAGCATGTAGTTTTATTTATATGTGATATGTAGAACACATTCACTATGTTCTTATAAATTATTTGCAGAATTGTGCAGCTTAGATGCAAAAACAAATGATGCAAGACTACTGAGTTCCTTACAATTGCTGTTGCTACTTTTGCCACCTCCTAACAGAATTTTGTTGAAAGCTATTGTTACCTTATTGAATAAGACAGCGAGTTACGAGCATAGTAACAAAATGAACAGTGACACACTAGCCACTCTATTTACACCTCACCTATTGTGTCCACGAAAACTGTCACCTGAAGCTTTACATATAAATTCTCAAAATCTGTCGTGTCTAGTTGCATTTATGATTAGGAAAGGTATAGAATTGTTTGAGATTCCACCAAAATTGGCTACAGATATAAGAGCATATTGGGTGGAGCAAGAGAGAAAATTGCTGAGTCCTAAAAAGACTGATGTAAGTTTTAAATTTAAAATAATTCTCTACCCTATCCTTATGTAATATGATAGAAGAGATTTATGATTATAGCTGAACGAGTCGGTACCAGATGCAACTAGTACAGCCCATACTGTGTTCAGTTTTGTCGATCGTAAATTAACAGCGAAGGCTAATTCCACGCAAGACACACAGGCAGCCTTGGCTCAGCTATACGCTCATATACAAGCCATGCCGGAATCTGCCAAAAAGCGGCGACTTGTAAAACAATTTAACAAGGAAAATGGACAGGGTACACCTAGGCACGTAAAGAATTGCAAAACCAAAAGTCTTGGAGATTCCATCAAGAAACATATTTTTCAAAAGAAAATCCTAGGCCACAAGAAATTTATCGATATAAATATTGGATGCAATATTACTAGATCAAGCAGTGAAGAAAATATATTATCAACGGTTAGTTTCCTTATAATCTTTATCTTCCTTCAGAATATTCTTTGTTATATGTTTATTATTTGTTTGCGTATAATAATAGCACGTTTATCATTTTATTTTTCTTTGCATGTACTGTATATAGAAATTAGAAGATTCATTTCTTCCGACAAGAGCGGTTCTTAGCAAATCAAATGACGAACTGAGCACGGAAAACTGTGATACAACTAATAACGATCTTTTACGTGCCAAACATACGAATAGTATAGATAGCATTAAGAATGAGACTTTGACAAGTTGTAAAGCAAAAAAAATAATATTAATCGATGAATCTGCAGATACAAAAGATGAGTTGAATGGAAAACACACACATGATACAAAACAGGATTTCGATTTGGTCGAACTCAGTTTGAGTTCAAGTTTACAAGAGATTAATGTAACGATTAATGAGGATAGTCACTTTGACACTAATAAATTAACACGACCACTTAGTGAGCCACCTGACTTGTATTCTACTCGTAATGATAATTCTATGGATAATAATAAATTTGTGCGGCGAAATTCGGAATCTATTCTCACATCTATTGCAACAGCAAATGTAAAAAGTTTCCCTTCAAAAACTTGTATCTCGAATGTAAAATCATCTGAAACTACTTTGAATGTTGAATCGCATGCTGAAAATGCATGTACGCATAATTTACAATCTCCGATGGTCAAAAATAGATTTAGGAATGTGTACGCTGTTCATACATCGACACCATCGAGTTTATTACGAAGCCTGGCAACTAACGACTATATCTTGACTCCTATTACTAACAATGATAGAAGCATGAGTCCGATTACACAAAGCGCAACAAAGATGACGAAAGCCATGCAGGTACATAAATGGAAAATAATGTATTTCTATATAATATAAAAATGTTGTATATATGCAGTTTAAAAATATTGAAGTATATATTAAAATAAATGTTAAATTAAAATTAATATGATATAAAACTGAAAATACATTAATCTTTTAATTTATAATAGGAAACTATGATGACTCCGCGCTCCAGGAAGCCTGTAATGATTGTTTCAACTTCGAATCTATGCAATCTCGTCACTGGCAGCAATAGTTGCGATTTACATGGACCAAATCTAGACATGGTCGGTACAATAAATAATTGTGCTTCTATTTTAGAGGAATCCCAAACATACAGCAGTACAGACAATGCGCTAGCCTACACAAAAGATGTCGAGAATAAAGAAAATAACAGATTAGATACGCTCGAGAAACATAGCTGTATACAATCCGTTGCAAACTGTTGCGCCTGTACGCAACAAAGTTCAATGTCCATAACGAGCACGTTCAGAGAATATCTGTTATCGAGAAGTGTATTAACCGCCAGTCCTGTCGATCTTAGTTTTACATCACGGACAGGAGACTTTGAGCAGTCGGAATCCGATTTGAATATATTGAATGATGATACGTTGTCTGATAGTTTATTGTGTTGTTTGGACGGTAATCAACCAGAATCTGACACTTCCGGTATTGCGTCTGGCAGCACGAATAGTGCGAATAATTCCACTGAGAAACCAGAGGAATTACTTTCTCCAAGAAAACGAGGGACCAGTTTACAACGAAATGATTCTAAAAAATCCACGAGAGAAAGTGTGGTCAAGAGCACAAGAAGCGAAGAGTGCAAACATAAACTGCGCGATGAATCGACGTTAAATCCAACAAAAATGAAAGATAGCTTTCAAGAGACATCATTTTAAGCTATCCATACAAATTATTTAATTATTAGTATTAGCATATCGTTAAGTTTAAGTAGATTTCTCTGTATGTTGTATAATATATTAAGGCTAAGGAGAATTGCCAATTAATTTCAGTTTATTAGTATGACTTTATACAGAGTGTTTCGTATAACTGGAGAGAGCTATTTATTTAAAGTAACTTAAATAGAAAAAAAATGTAAGAACAAAAATGAAATGATTTTAGATATTTCATATTTCTATGTTACTTTCATACATTTGTGCGTAAACTGTTATAAGGTGTAATTGTACTTAACGTAAAGCTCCATATTTTTAAGCGCACTAATTTTAATGCAGTTTTTTTGTCCACTTAATAAAAAATTATTATAAAGTTATGTTTATATATATATATATATAAATTGTTAGTTTAGAAAGTTATTTTATTTGATTATATACAGAGATACTTTTAGATATTCACGATAATTTTTAGGTATAACTTTTTTGTAGAAGAGAGAATTAATGCATTTAAGAATATGGAGTTTTATTAAAAAAATTTAACAAAAAAAAAAACGCATTTTGTAATACACAAAAATGTGAAAGTAACACTGATATGTAAAGCATATAAAATTATTTAATTTTATCTTATGACACTTTTTCTATCTCCATTTTCAAATTACAATTCCACATAATTACGTGAAGAGTATCCTATATATAATTTTATTTCAAATATAAATTTATTATCCAACAATAACTGGATTATTTATTTTATTTATGGAAATTAAATCATTATTAACTGTGCATACGTTGGAAGATATTTAAAAAAATTTCATTTTTCTTTTGTGACAAAATTGATAAAGATGTTTGTCAAAGCTGTGTATTGCTATGAAATGCAACAAAGTATTTTTCTAGTTTATTTTGTAATCGCCAAATTGCACAACACATAACAATACGCTTTTATATCAAGTGTAATTATCTTTATGTATCTTAAATAAATAATTTATGCAATACAAAGTTTAAAATATTTATAAGTAAAACAAACTATGTATGAAACAACTTGCATAATATAACATTTAATTATGATGTTATATGAGAACTTGAGTATTAAGATTATTTACCTTAAGATTATTCAAGGTTAATCTATGTTATATACTATAATATATAAATCTAGCTGAAATTTATTTTTTTTTGTCCTTAAAATGTAAGACTGATAGTTTTTCAGAGATATCCTACGACTTTATAAAACATTACAGATGATCGGGAAGTAACATGCTATTGTAAATCTCATGTTAATAGTCATATTTAATTAATGTAAATGAATTAGATAAGTTTTTTTTAATACAAAAAGAAATGTGTATATTTATATGTCAGTACATATCGTCGTGACTTAAGTCTGGTATGTAAGCAAAACCTCGCTCCTTCAGAGCTTTGTTTATTCGCTTTTTCTGCTCCTGCTTAGATTCTTGTTCGCGCCTTTGAGCATCCAAAATTTCATCCACCGTCACCTTTTTCAACGGCAACACTTTTTCCTTTTCTATATCCTGTAATATGGATATATTCGTTAATTGAACACTGTGCAGGATTATTAGCATTTATTATCAGAATTATAAGAAATTCTTTCTATTTATGAAACGCTTACTATTTCTCCTAAAAGCACAACATTCTCCCCTCTTACTATGAAAATACCTCTCGGAATGTCACCATACTCTTGACCAACATGAATTCTTTCAATAGTACTTTGAAGTACTATATTAGCAAATTGATCGACACTTTTAAGATAGCCAATTAACGTTCTGCCATCTCTCAATAAAACCATAAGCTTTTCTAAACAAGAGAGAAGTAAACGTTACATAATTGAAACATATTGATATATGTTTAGAAATACGAACATATAAATTCTTCAAATTTTAAACATATTATGACTTTGTTACATTCAATCAGTTACACACATTTTGTGTTCATACAAGTTACGTTTTATTTTGTTAAAGAATATAATTGTTATATTGCAATTAATTAAAACTATATAATATTACAATTATTAATGTAATTGAAATTAACAATTTGTGTCACTCTGCAATACGTTTATGGCAAGCTACGATCAAGTTACAATAATAATATTGAAAGTGCGAAATATTGTAATAGAAATATAGTAAGAACCGGCACGTAAAAAAAGTGTATTTCAATCACATCAATCAGACCGATTACATACTCTCGAGTTCTTCGAGTAGCGACGCTGTCCCCGGTGGCAATTCATTAGTTTCATTCATTTCACCTGACCAAACGAAATTAACGAATCAAATCACAAAAACACTTGCTACGAATATTTTTTATGTTATAAAAATAATACTGCGCTTATATATTGCCTCAACGAAATCATTTATCTAAACAACGCTTGTCGCGCTGCAAGATCTATAAATTAGAGAACTAATTGACGACGCAACGAGAGAATCGGTAATATCAATTGCGCTTTTTCCTCACTCAGGCAATACGTAAAGCTGTTTTATCGACGTTTCACTGAATGTTTATGTTACAGAATCGCAGATGGCGATCGTGTCATGTTACATTTCGCGATAAAAGAGCAGCGGGCGAAGATCGGTTTCATCGCGTGCGGCCCTGGTGAGCTTTTAATTCGAATAAATCCGAGTTGACGATGAGTTTCGGCCTTTTAACATTCCAACGATAACCGCGCGAGTTCGAAAAGAACGACTTTTCCTTTTGGCCGTTTCCTGTCGTTATTATTTCTCTTCTCTAATTTAGAATGACTTTCGCGCTCGTGCGGCTAGCTCGAATTGGAATTAGTCGATTTCAAATCGCCGGTATATTCACGTATGTAAATTGCAATTTTAATCGATCTTTATTCATCTCGGCCTAAATGGCTGCATCTCTTGTTTTCTTTGCGTATAATTTTATTTGTTCTTATATTTAAATGCGTCCGTATAAGAGATATGCAGTAATATTTTTACTTCAGTATAAATATTATATATATTCATTTTTTATTAATACTTATAGCGACATTTTTTACAGGAGATCAGAAGTTATTTCATATAAGTCAGGTTACAATTATATACGCTTTATACGTAGTACATTATGTACTTATTATAGAAATTGACCCAAAAATATAACACAAAATCTAAAATTGTGACATAAAGCGTCTTTAAGTCGTCTTTTAGACGCTAAAAATGTTTTATAACTTTTTTAGACATTTTTTGTTGTTTGTTGGGAATACAAGAAGTAAAATTGCTTTTTTATATGTTGTCTTATACCTATATGTTATAGAAATTGAGTATAAAAGGTAATACACAAAATTGATGCAAATGATAAAATATAATATAAAAAATAAAATACCTGAACTTATTAAATTATACTCAATTTCTACAATAAAAAACAACTTATAAATAACTTTCCCAACTCTAGTAAATAACTTTCCAATAAGCAAAATAACATTTTGGAACATTCTAGCAACATTGTAATATTGCTGGAATATTCTATGTTTCTTGCTTATTGGATTATGAAGTAACTTTTCAACTCTATATCAATATATTTTAGAATTTAATTTAACTCAACAATATAAATGTAATATGATACACTGGATATATTATACATAACAGATACAATATTGAATAAGAAATTATAATATTGAATGTTATGTGATATTTTGTATTTACTGGATTATGTCTATAAATTCTTGGCTAAGACGAGTGGATTTATTTCACAAGTGAAATAAAGAGCAGCATGAAATGTATACAGGTTTTATTGAATTTATCAATTATAATATTAAAATAGTCATTTTATGAAAAATTATTACGATGATTTGATACATTTTTTGACTATGATTTTATGATAAATTCTTGACATAATGATTTTTTAATTAAATAAAAAAAAAACACTTGTCAAAAACACATATGTTAAAAATTCATCACAAAATCAGCAAGTGTATCGAACAACATCGTTATGATTTTTCATAAACTGAAGAAAATTCTATTTGATGTAATCCTAATTTCATTATTTTATGTTCTATACTTGGGAAATTGATTTGATGAAGGTAAACGTCGAGATACGTTGCATTAAGGTTTTGCTGTGAGAATTTAAAGTCCTACCATTCGAAAATATTTGTGAAGGCGAGAAGTGGACATTTTTAATAGTTATATAATTACTTGTAATTTTATTTCAATTTTGTAATTGGTCAATTCAATAAAATAAATGTACATTTCATACTGCTTTCATTTTAGTTATGAAATAAATCCACGTTTTTCTTACAAAACAGAATTTATGGCACGGCTATGTATATTTTTCGTGAGGTACATCTTTCATAAGCGATAAAATATATCTCGACTACAATAGGAGGAATTTTCGAGATAAGCTGATGTTTAGAAGAAAGTAGAAAGATTGTAACGATATTTTGTTGCAAGATTATAAATGTATTACGCGAGATGCTATTGTCATATTGTCGTCGAATGCTGTTCTTTGTAGAAAAATTATGATTTAAATGCTCAATAACTCCAATTTTAATCGGAGTATTATTAAATATAACGTACGTCTATTTAATACAATTGTCTTACAATTTCTATTGTCTTTTTTTATTTATAATTAATGTACAAATTGCGAATCAACGCGATTGTGAGGTCATATTGTTTCTGATAACAAGTAAAATGTTACAATAACCAACTTTTTTGTGCTTTCAACTAAATTATTTTATTGCATCAACCAAAGATTTGTTCATTTATATTAAAACAAGAAATATATATTATAATAGTTGTTAGTGATTCAATTAGAGATTCTCAGTGCATCCAAAGCTCGTTAAACCGTCGCAAATCGGTATTTAAAATAAAAGAAAATATATTTCCAGTGACATGCGGTTAAGAGATGAGAGAAGAGAAAAAAGTAGATGAATATTCGAACAACATCGCGGCGGCAATGGGGTTCCAGAGTTCCGACGCGTTCCTGCGACGCACCTGGGTCATCTCAGGCGTCGGAGAGCCTATCCGGGACTCTGCTTTACGCGGAGACACTTTATGCCCCCGATTGCAAGCGACACCGGAACGCTCTCAACTACACCCGGCAACTATCCAGAATCCTTTTCCGATCGCAAAACAACGGTGAGGAGAGCGCGATTTAATTTAAGGACCTTGTGAAGCCGCGCGCGGCACGTTTCCCTTCTCTTGCCGCGTAGTCGGCGCCCAGTTCGGCGGCACGTTTCAATAATCGTGGGCACGACGACGACGACGAGCTTTCTCGTAAACCAGATCCGTCGTCTTGAAACGACAAATATCTTATCGGGACGGAAAGTAATGCATATATATTTTCAAATAGCGCGCACGCGGTGTTTGATTTTAATGACCACAAGTCGGGAAAAATGTATATCATGTCCTTTTTTTTCTTGCAAATTCGTTGATGAATATATTATTGTTTCACTCTGCTAATCCAATTAGAAATAAACGGTCTTAATTTAAGAAAGGAGATACAATGAGATACATGTATATAACATATTGTATTTAAATGTTTTGTTTCTGTTATGTCGTGCGTTGCGCGTCACGATTGTGAAGGCTTCAACACTCTGACAAGAGTTCTTACAAATTATACATGGAGGGTCAAAGTAAATATAGTGTCGTGAAAAATTTGGTGGTACCGCACCGTATAGTTGCATATACCACGTGGATTTCGGCGTGGTTGTGTAAGGCTAAAATTTGAAATTCAAATAAAGCGGTAAGAGGTTTACGACGGGCTTAAAGCCGATGTTACTATGGTCGTAAGAATCACGGGACATCTTTGCTTCCGAAGAAAGTGGACGCATATACGTGTTAAATTCGCGGATTCAATCAGACAAACGCATACGTTTAAAAATCAGTAATGAAAAGGCTCAACATGTATAAAACAATACAAATAAGAAAAAGGACACAGAGCCAAATATGTTTAACGTACGTATAATTTAAAAAACAAACTATATACATATAAAATTTCCAGACGTTTCGACTCCGATCGGGTCATTTTCAATGTATAAAAGTAAAATTTAAATATAAATAAAAAAGTACAATATAAATATAAACATTCTTCAATTAAATAATACAAAAATTATAAACAATCTTCATCCAAACAAAACATATTTGGCTCTGTGCCCTTTTTCTTATTTGTGTTGTTGCATACGTTTAATTTTCTGTCAATTTTCTCTCTCTTGTGCGCACTGCAGGACATAAATCCATTCGTTAAGTCTCTGTTCTTTCTTTGTGATTAAGACTCCTACTTCGCTACTACTATCTCAGATTGTGATGTCAGGAGTCAGAAAACACACGATAAAAATTCTTGCAAAATATATTAATATGGAAATGTTTCGATAAAACAACGTTTAGTAAAATATACTGAAAACTTTTTGTTTTGTTTATTAATAAATTGTACATCACAGGGCTGGGAACGAATCATGCAAAATAAGTTATGTTCACAGCTATGACAAACTGTCAAATTAATAATATAGGTATAATGGAAATAGATATGATTTAATTTTTCTCTGAAACAAGATCATTTCCGGTATATATATTTTATAAGTCTAATCTATCATTTGCAAATGTTGATTGAAAAATATTTTTATTCAAATGTAAAACTTGCAAGAATTTTTATTATGTGTTTTCTCGTTTCTGACGTCGCAATCAGAGGTATAACTATAACGTTAGTATTCTTTTTGCTTCCTACAGAGGATGTTACAGAGAATGAACTCATAGGATATCCAACGATATAGCTACGCGCTACAAAATCGAAACCGGGGTCGCGAGTCACGACCGAGTCGTGCCGGATAGGAGTCCGAAACGATTTAATGCTCAGCGAATGGCGGTCTTGGGAAATCGGCACCGCAAATACGGCGAAACGACGTGAGATTGTGGAACGGAGTCCGGGGAGAAGAGACGATTATCCGGTAGGGCGGGGGGCCCGCCAGAGCGAGGACGAACGGTTATGGGGGTGGAGGGATGAGGGAACGGAACCCACGTCGCGATCGTTTTGTCTTTAAACGCTTTCGTAAAAAAGAGCTGGACACGATTTACGCTTGATTATACAGCCCCGGCGCGGGGGTCAAAAGTCGAAACGAAATGACTATCGATACCGATGGGAGCGAGCAAGTGGAGATTATAGGTAACGGCTAATAATGCGGCCCGATCTCTACTCTCCCACTTTACCCCCTCCCCTCTTCCGTTGCAAGAACGAGCCGCTCTAAAGAGCGCTCAAACGCTCAATCGTTGGTTTTCTGTTTCCTTCCCCCTATTATATATTTTGCCACTCGCTGCATTTCGTCTACAATTTGACGGCAATTATCATGAAAATTTCATCATTGTTACGTGAGTGTTGAAAAAATCCAGAAAAAAAAAAAAAGTACTTTATTCGTCA